AAATTTTATGAAGCTATCGCAAAATTCATAGCAGAATCGGGAATTCACTGTTAAGTTAGATGCGTTAAAAGGGCACTAGTCAAAGAAAGATAACTGGTTGTGTAGACCAGCTTGGCCCCTAAGCCACCTGGATGCTTTAATAATATGCGAACAAATTACATATCTAGGGAACTACATATCTTGTTACAAAGAAAGGAACTTTTGTTGTAGGACGGTATGGCGGTTCAGCCTGTTGCATGATCTAATATAATAACACACAAGGGAAAAATAATGACAAAATAAAGTAATAAGGGCCTACACAACCATTATTAACAATGACTGCGCATCAATCAATTTAATTTAACCCGTGTTTAAAAATTTATTTATTCCTATAAATGGTTCAATTTGTGTTGCTGCTGGCTCTTCTTTTCTTTTCAGGTAACTTTTTATTTGTGAAGAGCCATACGCAAGGAAAACTCTAATGGAATGCCTCCAACTTTTAAACTTGAAGTCTTGAACTCTTAGTTAATTTTTAACAACATGGAACTTATTGGACGAATACTTTTAATATGTAAATAATGTACGGGTCCAGATATGTGGTTTTTACTGCGAGCACTTCGCTTTTCCACATAATGCCAGAGGATTCTTTTTTCCCAACGGGTTTTTTCTATCTGCTCTGATGACGCCAAACATCAATCAGTTGGACCTCCTGTGTTAACTTTATTATGACAAAGGGAGAAGACGGGTCGCCCTCTCTTCTCACGACGGCGAATTTATAGGTGTGCTTTAAGAAACGTTTGGTATCCGAGGACTTTTTATTTTGTGTTTTTAACAATTTTCAAGTGTAAATAATTTAATTAAATCAACCTGTCCATAATATCATATTCATTGTATTGAACGTTAAATCTTTAATAAACAACAAAACAACATTCACCATTATCTTCACTTAAAAAATTACTTAGAAAGGACACTATTGGATCTCTCTTATATTCAGGTAAGCTCTCTATGTATAATTTGAATGTTAAACGTTATAAATATATATATTTATTTTAACTAAAGATTTAGAAGTATATCCTTTTATATCGGATAAGTACCATTAGTAGAATCGAGTATTTGGAATTATATTTATAGCACGACTTTAATGGGTTAACAGGTTTAACCAGAGGCGGTAGGCCGAGGGATTAAACCTGTTAACGAATGAAGCGTGACACCTGCTCAACATGCTTTTTGTTATTACACAGAAAACCCAACCCACTTCTCTATATGATTTCTACTAAAACTAGTGTAAACCAGCAAAAATGTGCAATAACATAGAACATGTCTAGTTATTGCACTGTTAAGCTCCACCCAATCTACTAGAGGGGAAACAATCTGCTTATTCAACGAAAAGAACAACGGAAGATTTCCCGTCCATGTTACAAATCCTTTTATATCTGTTAAATACGATTAGTAGAATCGAGTATTTACGGAAGCGTATAGGGGTCATGCAAAATTTTGTAGAAGGTCTCGAGATCCTGCGATCCTGGGATACTTTCTCGAAATCCCGTGATCATCTGATAATCTTCTCGAGATCTCAATTTAATGTTCCCGAAATCCCCTGATAATGTTCCTGGGATATTGACATCCTGTGTAAATTTCCTCGAGAATTCGAGTTAATGTTCTCGACATATTGACATCCTATGTAAATTTTCTTGAGATCCCGAGTTAATATGAAACCTTATATGATAGTGTCTACACGTTGTGAAGCAACCTTTGGCCAAATACTTCGCACCAATGAAATTAAAAACCCTACCACGTTAGCTTTAATGTGTGAAGCTTTAAATTATAGACATGCTTGTTAAATTATTTCAATTTTAACCTGTTGGCGACGTTTAATTGAAAATGTCATTGTTTGCATGGTTTTCGGACCATATTTTGTTTTAGAATAAATCTAGATACTGAGTTTATTGTCTTGTGGCACAAATGCTTCGGATCAAAGTAGGAATAACGCCGTAACAAAACGCTAGGGAGCGCTGCAAATCAATAAGGTTCACTGTTCCGCCGAAAATAAATAGGGTTCCCCTGCTTATGACACTAATGATTCAAAAAAAATTAGAACGATAGCCACACAAAGTGTGGAGATACGCCCACGCAGCATCTATGCCTCTCAATAGAAGATTATTGGAAAGGAAAACTTGATTGTTTAATAAATTGAATAAGGATCTAGCATTCATCAAGAAATCTAATCTTTATCGTGTTCACGTGCTTGTTATATCTCTGGGACAGAAAACCTTACATTGCTGAAAATTAACAGGGGTCATCCATGTCGCGGAACACTGAATATCGAAAATCCATTAAAACAAGGTTTTTAAAGAATGGAATTAAACGGAAGATCGCTAACCATTGAATATCAATAAATTTCATGACCCCAAAGCTTCACACTAAATTGTTAAACTGAACAAGGCTTTCAGGGAGCGGGCGGGGGGGGGGGGGTATATTAAGGAACAGAAGGTCACAGAATGCTGAATATCGATAAGGATCATCCTCCCATCGTCACATATTTGAAAAAAATTGAAAAAATACGAACAAAGAGGGTAACTCTGGAACAGAAGTTTGCGGAGTACTGAAAATCGAAAGACCCCAGTGCTCTTACAACACATTTGAAAAACAAAATCAGTTAATAAAAACTGTAGCCTCTATTTCGTTAACAAGGTTTTCGGAAAAGGGGGGTAACTCCAGAACGACAAGGTGTGCTAAAAGCGACAGGGACCGTCCTCTCATGGCCCAAATACTTTACATTAAATTTGAAAGGGGTAGGGTGGGTTGGTGGGGTAAACTCCGAAACGCGTAGACCAAAAAATACCCGAGATCTCGAGAAAATTTATTCAGGATGGCAAGATCCCGTGAACATTAACTCGAATTCTCGAGATCGTTAACACAGGATGGGAGATTCTCGAGAAAAGTATTAGGGTATTTCGAGAAAATTAAATTGAGATCTCGAGAAAGTATCACAGGATCACAGGATCTCGAGGTCTTCTACAAAATTTTGCATGACCCCTATACGCTTCCGTAGTACCCTATGCATATATATTATTACAAGCTGCACCACCCTATACATTGTATTTATGTTATATTGTTATTAATGTTTGAATGTTAATAATTAAATCATCTTCACTTAAAGATACTTTATGGGAGATTTTAATAGAGAGTTGGCCATTCTTGCTATAACAGTTCAAAAATAGATGATAAAAGAAGAATATATTGAAAATTTCAGTCAAATTACTTTATTCTGAACAAAGTTATCGCCATTGTAATTTTTGACTATAAATAGGAGTCAAATCCCTCTTCACCGTCTACGAGAATGCAGGCCGTTTGATTGACAGGCGTTAACTCCACCTACATAATCTCGATTATCAAGTAACGTTTTCAATTCGTATCACATTTATTTTTACTACAAATTAAAAATAGGACTTTTATTATATAGATAAGATGCGAAGGTTTTAAAGGAATCCCCAGGCATAATCATAGCCGACTTCTTCAATCTTGTACTCCCGAAGCAGACCAATTGAAATAGGAAACATTGATCCAATGGGGCTGCATGGACTGCAATTCAACTGGGGGGATGTTAGCTGCGATGTTTATCAATTTCCATAATTTTTCTGTAAACGCAAGTGACAAAAGGGCGTATAATACCGACATCCAAACTCTCATTTTAACCACAAATAAACATAGTATCAAGGCCGTATATATCGAACTTTCAATCACACTGACCGACATATGCGGCCTCGCTCAACAGCGGCCTCGCATCGTACACTCTATCATTCAGCCTCGATCTAAAATTTCCCGGAGTATGACGTCAACGTAACGGTTAATCTCAGATTGCGACGCCATTTAAAAATGTAATCAATGAATGAAATCCTGTTTAAATCCAAGCGAATCCAAGTCATCCGTGGGTCTACAGAGTTGATTTTATGCTTGTTGTGTAAATAAAGATCTAATTTATAATTTCTATGACATCTGAAGCCTAAATTTAAAACTTGCAATAATCAGATTTAGCTCTTGCATAATGCATGTTATGCAAGAGCAAAATCTGATTTTTACAGGTCTTTCTTTAGGCCTGAAATGTTATCTAAATTATTAATTAGACATTAATTAACTTATCCAGACCATAATGAACTCTCGGTGTCAACGCTAGCTTTGATATTGACTGGATTAGAATCATATATGCTGCTTAACGCTCATTGATAATTAAACCAAAAAATGGATAATCGAGATTATGCTTTTTATCGTGCTGACTTTAGTAATGATGATCGAGGCTAGGCGGAAATTTCAATCGCTTTATTCTCGGTTCATAGTGGATCAATTTGACTGGAATTTTCCGCAAAATACCTTTACATTATCTAGTTTTTAAATTTTATAGTGAAAACTGCAAACTCATTATCTAATTTTCCATAATGTATCTTTAATAATTTACTAGGAAACGACAACATTGGATCTGTCTTATATTCAGGATAAATAAAACCAAAGAAACAACACTTTTACACTATACAATATAGTGTAATATACAATATCAATATCTACTTTACGGGTTGATGTCCCTCCCACAGTAAAGAAGTGGACTGCGGAATTTAAGCGTGGCAGAAAGAGTCTTGTCAAATATTTCTGCAAGATTGATGCCAAGGCACTTGATCCTGATAATATTTTGGCCAGATTTGTAACCATAGATGAGACGTGTTCCCAACAATTAAAAAGAACTAGCCGATCGCCATTTGCTAGTAATGATGACGTCACGTCATGTGTCAATTTGTTGTATTTTACGTCCGCTTCCACCGAGGTGATATCGCAGATGTGAACGACCTTTTATAGGGTGGCTGAAGAAAATTTATTCCTGGTCGACATCCAGGTCTTGTAACATCGTTGGCAAAAGTGTGCACACCTCGAAGGGGTCACTATAGAAAAATAAACGGAAACCATCGATTTTGTACAGGTCTTTCACTAAGGTTTCAACTTCATACAATATATAAATATATTAGTCAACCTACCATTACGTTCTTTGGTTGGCATCGCCTTCAGTGACACTGAAAACAAAAGTTTATATATTTTTTAATTGAATAATAATAGTTATTGGATGCGAATACGTGTCGGGGTACAAGTGTTGGCTGAGCCGAATGCAGATATATGTGTGGTCATTTCGGGATTGACACATGGGTCAACTTTATTTCTACTATTTGCTTGTGCGTAGGGGTCTTTAGCAGTGGACCAGGAAAAAACCCACGGGACTGAACAAGCTTCCCTACTCATGTCACGTACAAACGGGGAATAGAAACCACGCCAGTGGACGCAATGCTGGGCCTTATGATACATCGCGCACGCGCTAACCTTTCGACCACCCACCCCAGCTCCCATTGTAGATATGTAAATTAGCTATACTTAATATGGTAAATTTTGCAAGAATATGAGAGAACGTTACATTTTGTATCTTCCTACAAAATTCGTACAAATCTTGGCAATGTCGTTTCGGGTTCTAAATGGTAAATATTTACTATCATAGTACGACATAAGGAACATTTTGAGTGAATGGAATATAGGATTTGAGAGAGGAGTGTAGTTGGAGTGGTCAATTGATAATTTTATCGTGTTGATATGCATTGTATAACCTTTGTAATTAGATTTTTCAATACAATATTGTTGTTTCAGACCCGTTTTCATGGGATCTGAATACGGCACCGTAAAATATTGGGTATATCTTGAACTCGCCTTTACCGTAGATGTCAAGGGGCTCACCTAGATGGATTTTCCCTTGCTAGTGTAAACCACGTATAGTTCGGCACAGTCACTACTTTATTATTATTATTATTTTATTGCATTATTTATTCCATGATATCAGTTCATAGTTATTAAATGCCCAGGCGAAACATGTAGACACTTAAACAACAGTACTTTCGTTTAGAATTTTTAACCTTTTTTTAAAATGTCAGTCAAATTTCTTTATTCTGGACTGTTTTAAGAATATCGATTTTAAAGAGCTGACAGTTCTCGCTATAATAGTTACAAAGAAATAGCTAAAGAAAAGGGCATCTCGGAAATTTTTTCCCAGCTTTAACAGCTCCGAAGTTTAGTTTGACTCGACGTTTTACCGAAACTTGGGAAACCCGTTAAAAAATCCGACTTTTCGTCCTGTGCCGCAAACTCGGAAAAATAATTCCGGTTCCCCATCTGCGTTTAAGATATGAGTATTTACCAAAATACGAAAACTCTAAATCACTGTCTATACCACATTTTCAATGCATCATACGAAAGGACAGGGAAAAGGCATCTGGATTGAGACAAACATTAATAAAAACAAATTTCTAATCGGTACTTTTTACAGACCAACTAATTCTAACAAGAGCATCGCTAACACTGCAATATATCTCCACATTCCTGCGTTGACTGATATGGTACTTTTCAAAATGAAGAGAATGAAATATGAAATGGGCCTTTACGGTATAAGGAATAAAAATGCAATGCTAATCTATGGAGTAAAAAAGCAAAGTCGACTTTATAACAATACGCCGCCCTTAAAAAAGAGGCCTTTTCTGAATTATATTTTATTTATAGATGGACTTTTATATCTCCTGCTTTGAATAGACAACTTTTTAAAAATCTAGATCAATACGACTATAATTATTTATCATGTAACTCCACGGCAACAAAAGCCAATTCAAAAGCAAACTTAATTATATAAATCAATACACCTATAAATGTTAATACTCCTCATATCCCACAAAGATGTTTGAAACGACAAGTCGAATATTTCGGAATTATTCGTTCCGAGTATTCGGCACGAGCCTAAACCTCGGATTTATTTTCTGACTTTTCCGTTTTTTTGGTAAAACGTCCGAGTGGTCAGTAGGGCCTCTTATCATGTTAATAAATGTCTAATAATTCATATGGCATTTAAGGTCTAAACTAACACCTATTATAGGCAGATGTAGTTCGTGAATAATGCATCTTAATAACTACTACGGTTTCAACTTCATGCACCTATTGATATATAATATATAATATAAATTAACCTACCTGTATGGTCTCCTGTAGCCATCGTCATCCGTAAAACTGAAAATAAAAGTTTATATATTTCTAAATTGGATAAAAAAAAGTTATTATCAGTCGGGCTATAAGTGTTGTGTGAGTCGAATTAAACAAAAATGTATTAAATCATTCTACCTTCCAGTTTGTACAGATGCAAATTAGCACGACAGTAAGAACCTAGTTATCACCATGAAATATCATATTGTTTTCATGTTAATCTACTTTGTATTACCTTTCTAATTATATCAAAATTGTCATTTTACGAAAATAATTTTCTTGGATTAGTTTAAAGATAAAAAGATCCTCGAAACGGTAATGGGATAATTTAGATAGACTATGAAAGCTAGTCTATAATTCTACGTCCTTTTGTACAGATGTAGTTACACAAAATGCCCTATGACAACTTTCAAAGATACTTACCGTTAATAGTCTATATTCTTAATCATTAATGTTCACCGAATATCAGTGTTACTGTCAGGATTTCTTACTCAGCTGCACTATATATATATATATATATATATATATATATATATATCTACACTGAGTCAGCACACTGACGTCAACAGGTATGTATGCTCCTCCTACAAAAGCCGCCAATCAGATACGCTCACTTGAAATTACATTGAACCTGCATCGTTTAGCTCCGCCTATAAATGCAATCTTTATAATTCTAGGAATAACCCGTTGGTCGGAGGAGACGTGTTATGCTTTCTACACTAGCCGCGTCAATTATTATTGTCAAGTCTTTTACCAATCTTCATTGACAGAAATACACCATGAATTCCGGTAAGAATTTACTTTTAAAATTCAGGCCATATTTATTTACGTCAAATTAAACCAACTAATATTATCTAGGATAACCATGTGGTACTTATGGGCAAATAATTAGTTCAATTCTCTCTATTCAATAATCACACATAACTCAAAGTCATAATCGAAATGTAAGACGCTGGCTCGCTAGCCTTCGGATGGGACGGAAAACCGAGGTCCCGTGTACACATTGGCGTGCACGTAAAAGATCCCTTGGCAGTTGGAATTCGATATAAGAGTAGGTCGTAGCGCCGCTACCCGGGCAAAATGTCCCTCATAGCACACTGATAGGAGCAGGTTAGGAGCAGAACAGTAGGACGTTAAACCCCATTTCATTTCATTTCATTTTGGCTCGCTAGCCTGGTGGTTGCGTGTTCGATCCCTGCAGGGGGATCACGTGGCTAAGTGGGTAAGACTCTGGCTCGCTAGCCTGGAGGTCGGGTGTTCGATCCCTGCATTGGCCGGGAAAGTTCATTCAGATTTTCTGGCGTGGTTTCCCCTTGTCAGTGATGCAGGACGGAGGGCTTGACAAGGATAGCTGTCTAGTCGTTCGGATGGGATCCGTGTATACATTGGCGTGCACGTAAAAGATCCTATGGCAGTGGGAATTCGATAAAAGAGTAGGTCATAGTACCACTGCCCGGGCAAACTTTCCCTCATAGCACAGTAGGATGGTAAACCTCATTATGTTTCGGACCTCCGGTCGAAACACGTATTGTTTACTTAAGTGTTTTTTATTAAATTGTTTATTTTGGGGGGGGGGGGGTAGTCTGAGTTTGCAGTCAAAACTGTATATGGTGCAGAAATTCTGCCGACGTAGATAATTTCAGATTGCCCAAATCTCCTTTTTTTCTCAACGGATCTTCGTCGGGTTTTCATTTTTGGTTTCTTTCGGCGAATCACATATGGACTCTGAATGGCGGTTTTCGAAATTGGGAAGTTCGCTCAATTAGTTTTAGCATCAAAAATTTACGAAAGTTTTCTTCAACATTTTTCGAAATTCAAGATGGCTTATCTCTGTCACTATTTGAGGTATCAAGTTGACACTTAGTAGGAATAAGGAAAACCACGGTGCCTTCAAAATGGCATATTAAACAATTTTGTGACGACTTCGGAAACTTCCGATTTTTCCTGAACATGAATAGTTCTCTCCATGTTAACAATAGCTAAAATGACATATGGTGGTGTTAGCCCCAGATATTATCTATCATTTTCAGAGACCTTGTTCGATAAAATTTTCAACCGTTTGGCCACTATTCTGGATTTACAAAAACCTTTTAATCGACATTCTGCCGCCATTATAATTCAGATTTTCGAAAACTATTTTTTGTATAGAACCTATTCCATGGCAATAATTCTTAGAGAGCCGATTTTTGAATTTAAACTTGGTTTACTTCCGGTTTAACTATTTTTTGTATAAAACCTATTCCATGGCAATGATTCTTAGTGAGCCGATTTTTGATTTTAGACTTGGTTTACTTCCGGTTTAACGTTGAAATTTTTTGACCTACTATCTGGTGAGCTAGCCGTTCAATGACTCTTGACCTTTGCATATATGATGACCCTGATGTCTACTTACAACTAATATCAAAATGTTTGGTCTTGAAGTATAACTTCCAGTTAAAATGACAGGTTTTCCACTTTAATAGGTATTGGATGTTACTATATCCAAAAGGTCATGGTGTAACTTGATTGTTGACGCGACAAGGCGTGACCTGGCGAAACCGAAACTCGCCAGTACTCCTTCGGAGTTCTAGTTTCATTTCTTTTCATTTCATTTCAGAAAAATAATTTGAAATGTTGGAACGTGGTGGTTTTGTTTTCCACAAATGTTACCAAACATACAAAAATATAGCCATGATCTAAATGTGTTGTTATTGCGGTGACAGATCTTCGGTAAGGTACATAATCCCCCCCCCCCTTTCAATCTGTTTGAAAACGATATGGAGCAAACACGTGTTGACAACTCATCACGTCAAATATCATGTCGAATTGTTCGATTATGTGTTTTCCACAGAGATTACGTTACATAAACTGTCGTGTAATACAATATGCAAACTGTATGAATAAAAAATACCGAAAAGAGCTGAAGTTAAGCTCTAGTGATTTCATAATTAGAACACACTAGCTTAGCCATCTCATATCGTAACAACAGTAATATAGAAGATAGAGCAATTGAACCGTGAACCAAATTTATTCGACACTGTAACTCACAATAAATACAAGCTACATATGTTAAGAACTGAATAGTTTGTAAATTCGTTCCATTCTGTAATTTTGTTTCGTTCATTCCGGAATTTGTATGTAAACCTCTAGTGAATCTTATATAGTGTGAACTCTTCTTTTTAGATTTATGTTCAATAACGACATCGAAACTTCAAGTGTTTTGTTGTTGGAAACAAGACATGTACATGTGCTTATCAACATACGACAATATTTTAAAAATTACTATAAAGGAGAATTACGAAATCATATATATCTCAACACCGACGTTATCTGTAGATGTGAATTTTCAAAGTGCCACCCTATAAAGCAAATCAACATTTAAAATTTTAAAAAGTCGACAATTTGAAGCTGAGCTGTTACAAAACTTTACTGAATTAAAAGATATAAATTGACTTTTTAAAATGTACAAATGTTTCTTCCCCGTACATGCGCACTGTAATCACAAGACAAGTTTTGTTTTTGATCTTCTGAGTGAGTTGTCTTGGTAATTACATGTAAGCATTCTTTATTGTTCTGGTTGTAGTAATAGTGTACGTGAGATAACACTCCTTACCCGAAATTCAGTCGTCCGTCTTAATTAGCCAAGTCGTTACAGAAAATTAGCACGTTAAACCCCATTTCATTTCGTTTTCAATGCAGTCGTAAGAATTGGGGTATCCATTATTGACAACATATTCGTTGCATTCGGAGATAACGTTGTCAGCTAAGTCATTGTGCTCCTTTATTCTACTGTAAAGATTTGAATTACCGGACATGTATGAGAGGAAGAGATGCTACGTGCTGATATACGAGAAGGTGTCTATTTTAAACACCATTCAAATACACTGTCTTCTATTCACTTGATTTATTAAATAGTCGCTTTTATCTGTGTTTCTTTTTTGTGGAAATAATAATTGTCATTGATTTTTTAATTTCTTGTAGATGTATTAAGGGCAAGGTAAAGTGACACCATTTTGTCACAACACCTGAAATGGGGGGTTCTCAAAAAGGAATTTACACCAGCTTTGATGCAAATATGTTGGTATCTACATGTGCCTGAGATGATACAGAACAATAAAAAATGGATGGAAATCCAAAATAATGACTTTGAAATAAAATATTTACCAAATAATGAAGCAAATTCCTAAGTCAGGACTGCGCAGCTACAAGCTTTATAAAAAAGAACACAGGAAAATTAAACTGGCTAAAAGTTGCTCGGATAATCAAACTCCAACCATCAAGACTTGAAATCTGAAAAAAAAATAACAAAAATTAGTTATAGGATCTCAAAGTTTTCAAATATTTTGTAAACAAAAAGCCATTTTGTTTCATGCACTACTTTCACTGCAGATGTATGGTGTACCACTAGTGGCACATTGGACAGCAATATTGCCCCTATGATATGAGGTACACATTGTACAAATAGCCTTCATATTCCGGATATGACATCTAATTACAATAATAGCAGCCTTTTTGCAGGGATTTTTCATGACTTGAATACAGAGCTATATTACAATGTACATGTATGTATGTCTGCTAAGGCTTATTACATGTATATAGTTATGCCATAATGGACACAAACTAGGTCATTTTGGGACTAACACATGGTTCAAATTTATTTCAATAATACGCTAGTGTGTAGGGGTCTTTAGCAGTGGAAGGACCTGGAGAAGAACCATGAGGCGTGACAGGCGACCCTACTGCCTGTCACATACAAGTGGACAACTGAAACTACGCCACTGGACTCAATGACGGACCTTGTGATCAAATGTGCACACGTTTAATGTGCACAATTTGTTATACCCACCTGTTATTATATTAAAGTCAACAAATCCTAAATCACATTTCAGTTCCTGGCCTATATTTCTGAAAAATTAATAATGTAAAGGTGTATTTTTCAATTCATTTTCTAAATCCAGCACATACACAAATTCTCAATATACATGTATATGTGTAAATATTCAGCATTATTTGCAAACTTTCCAATGGGAAGTGATATTAGATGTTCTAGTTAAGCCCTAATTAGATGCTGACATACATGAATCACATCCATTCACAGATGTACAATGTTTCTGTCTTCTAGAAGGCCTACACAGATTTGTAAACTTGCCAACAGGGTTAGTGTAATATTAATAGTAATATTTTGGGCATACCCTGCCCATGCACAACACTTGTCACTTTGCAAAAGTGTAACTTAACTGTCTAGATAGGACATGTTTTTGATTGGCATGTATTTAATGGTTGCTTTTGGTATGCTAGATTTAAAAAAAGACAGCTACCATTGTAGATACATTAACCATATTCACATATTTTATTTGACTCGGAATGTTTAATGTTTTTGAGGGTTTTTTTCATATAAATTGACAATACGTACCATTTTAAAGTTTTTTTTATCATAAATGCCACATAATTTTTAATGCTTCTTTAAATTCCATATCAATCATAGTTTTGCCTGTATATCTGTCAAATTACACAATTCTCTAACTCAATATCATCCAAAGTCTTCCACCTTGAAAATAGAAATTATTTGTCAGTTTAAATCAACATTGATGTTGTGATCTTACCGGGAAAAGGTGGGCTTCTGATATCCTATATTTAAGACAAAATAATCATTTTACCATTGGTACACGTATTGTGTACCATAATGCGTTTCAGGACCTTTTGTAATAAGGTACTCGAAGAACGAGGCTAGACATATTCCCCAAGTGATGTTAAGCGGTGATGCCATATTCTTATCTGGAGAGTATGCACAATAAATACTATTATTGTAGACTGGAATAACCAGACGCTAGTGATTGTCATTTAATTGAGACTACTGACATATTTCGCCGAACATAATTGAATTGAAATTTGAGTAAAAACGGAAACGATTGAATGTAAATCAGTTACATTATTATACGCGTTGCTACCCATTTGTGTCAATTTCTAGGTCTCAAATATTAGCGATTTACCTCCTTTAACTTTAAAGCAACAGGGCCACCATAATCTGCGTAGATTATCTTGTCCAATTCTGTAAAATAAGAATAAAAATTACAAGGTATATCAGTGAAAAGTTTATATGAAACAAATCCTAAATAAACGACACATAATTATAATAGTATAATTATTATATAATAATTTCAAAAATGAAAAACCCAACAAACCATGTCTTAAATAAAGTAAGACACAAAAATAATTTAATAATATAGGCCTATATAGGCTAAAACTTGATAATTTTAACTTATATATAAACCCATTAAATTTATCACTAGAAGAAATTGAAAATATCCAACAATTAATTTTCAAGTTAATAATAATGCATTTTCATCATTTTGGCAAAGTTTTAATTTCAAAAAGCCCAAATGATAAGGCAAATAAATTGAAGTCTGTCGTCTTTGGCATGTGCTACCTTTGGCGTTCCGTAGTCCCAAACAAAATACAGGATAAGCAATTAAAAACTATTTTTGTTCCAAATTGATACCACCCAACATAAGTTGCAATGCAAGAATGCAGCGTGTACTTACCAATATGAAAATAAAATTTATTCAACGAATTTGAGATCACTTGACGACGAAACCACATGTACCAACTTATTTGACAGTTCGTCCCATCTTTCTAAAAAAAACATATCTCCAGAGATCGGCTATCCGATCACAAATGACACCGATCTACATAATGCCACACTACCTTTCAAATTTTCTCCTTACAAAACATTTCTCTCAAAATATTCACGAAATATAGTTTTTGCCAAATTTCTTAATTGTTGACATTTGGAGGCCGACTGACAACTTCTAGAAGTTCTGCAGCGACTGGCAATAATCCGGCAAAGCCAATTTAAATTCTATAAGTTACACTTCACCAACAAATTGTACTACAAGCAACATAATCTTACTGATATGTGTCAAATAGTATGCCACATAATATGACACTTATTACAGCAAATTATAAACTTGAGCCAAAAACTCATTGAACGCGGAGTAATGCCTGTAAAGGGTGAGGGTCGTTTGAGCTGTGTTCGGAACTACAAATTGTATATAATGGGTGATCAGAAAGAAACTGCAACGGTTAGGGTTTTAAAAAAATATATAGGTATGTAAATAATTCATTTCCCTCGATTTGTATTCCGTCAGTAGGTTCGATCAACCTGACGATTTTTCGTGCTTCAGTGATATGTCAACAGAGGGTCGCTGGAGAAGAAAGGCGAGACGAAATAACAAAATGGCTAAAGCACATGCGAGTATGTACCTAACGTAATGAAATACGCATTACATAAATAGAGAGAGGTTAATTGAAAAAGCGAGCCTCGACGGTTGTTGTACACACCATGGGACAATAGTTGAATGTGATAAGTAACGTCAGAAAGTTCAAATAATTCTTGTAGGTGTAACCGCGTTTGTTGGACATTTTGCGATATTTTCACCATAAATTTACGCCTCAATGATCCCAAGATCTGTTTAAAGGGTCAGTGGTAGTAAAAAAATGGTCTGTAATTTTAGACTTTTGTATCCAAGGACCACTGTTCTGGTTTTTGAAATAAATTTTTCATCTTTTCAGGTGCTGTGACAAAATGGTGTCACTTTACCTTGCCCTTAATTACCCGAAACTTTGGCTATCACAACTGATCAGCAAGGTGTTTAGTTGGACATGTTAAGATTACAATGTATGCAACAATTCAGAAAAATCTGACTATTCAGTTTTTAAGTTAAAAAGAGTTTAAGATACAAGTGACAAGTAAAATAACCCAACAGTTTCAAAATGTTCAGCAAACGTTGGTTCTTTGCTCCGAGTAATATCTAGTGGTGAATTGTTTGATCATTAAGTCCATTCAGTTTTTAAGTTAAAAGAGTTTAAGATACAAGTGACAAGTAAAATAACCCAACAATTTCAAAATGTTCAGCAAACGTTGGTTCTTTGCTCCGAGTAATATCTAGTGGTCAATTGTTTGATCATTAAGTCCATTAAACATACATTCATTATGCAAGAGCTAAATCTGCCGATTGCATGTCTTTCTTTAGGCCTGAAATATTAACTAAATTATTAATTAGACATTAATTAACTTATCCAGACCATAATCAACTCTCGATGTCATCGCTAGCCTGCGATTCTTACTGGATTAGGATCCGATTTGCTGCTCAATTTTCATTCATGATTAAATCATAAAATGGATAATCGAGACTATGTTTTTTATCGTACCGACTTTAGTAATGATGATCGAGACTAGACCAAAAATTAAATCGCTAAATTCTCGGTTGATAGTGGATCAATTTGACTAAAATTTTCAGCATATTCCCTTTACATTATCTAGTTTTTAACTGTTATAGTGAAAACTGCCGGCTCTTTATCTAATCTCCCATAATGTATCTTTAAATTTATTTGTTGAATATCATATTATAGAAAAGTTGTGATTAAATTGCAACAATTAGTATTTTAATGAATTGGGTTTAATTCTTATATATTGAATGAATTTAATGCAGAAAATAAATAGAATAAAGATAAATCAATATTTTATATCTTCAAATGGTATTTTAAATAGACGGACTTTCATATTCATTTCGTTTAGACGTTTCTAATTTTAACAGAAGAAATCAATTAATTCTGTCACGATTGCCATCACGACTCCAGGTTCATTTTTGATTACATGTAACTGAAATTCTAATACTCTCGCTGTCGAGGCAAGGCTCAGAATATAACCGCTTGGTCACTTAAAGCTCAACAATTATAGCATAAAACATTAGTGAGGCCGATATCCATGTTTTTTATAAATCATCCAGCAATCAAAGTACTGATCTATAATTATCCAAAGAAAACAATACGGATGATTTATCCTCTGAAATACGGGATTTTCCTAATTTTAGTTTCAGGTACCATTGCAACTTGATCAATGTATCGAATCTATGTTTAAGCACCACCTGAATTCCACAGAAGTCCCTTCATTATCATATACATGTATTCATTTGGTGTTAAACGAAAAAGATAAATGTCAAAACTTAGTTCCCGCTTCTATCGTAAGGTGAACTAGAACTAGCCAAATAGTCAAAGAAAGGATCATTAAATCTTGCTGCTCCTTAAAAGAATTTTTACTTTGGAATAAGGAAGGGCCTTGGGTAACTGTTTTGTTGACCCTTTGTGGATTTATTATTTATGTTTATCCTTCAGATATAAGACTGGTGTTACTGGGAAAGACAGGTGCAGGCAAAAGTTCACTGGGAAACAGTTTACTTTGGAGAAAAGAGTTTAAATCCTCCCCGCTACAGATCACAAATACCTCCAAACCAGAATGTCGACGTGGATCGACTCAACTTGTGGATGGAACCAAACTAGTTATTGTTGATACACCTGGAATTGCTGATACTAAAGTGTCTACCATGGACACATTTGACGAACTTACACGATGTATAGAGCTTTCGCACCCAGGTCCCCACGCATTCCTGTTAGTCCTGAAGATTGATAGATTTACACAGGAAGAGATGGACACAATCAAACACCTCAAATATTGGTTTGGGCAGGATATCATGAAATACGCAATTTTCGTTTTCACCGGTAAAGATTCGCTGAATTATGCTGGTTTATTAATTAACGAGCATGTTCAGAACAGTCCAACTGAACTGAAAGACCTTATAGCGGAAGCAGGCGGACGTTTTACAGCAATCAACACTCGGGGTCGTGGCCCTGAACTTGAAATAGATGTTAACACCATAATGACTCTAGTGAAACAAACCATGCGGGTTAACAACGATCAACATTACACCCAACAAATGTACAGCCAGGCTGTGAAGGCGCGGAAAGGACAAACGAATCTGGTGGAAGACGAGGAGTTTCAAGATATAAAGGATTTGCGATTACGGGAGATAGCGAAAAAGTACAAGAGACAAGGTGTTGAACGAGGACCAAATATTGTAACTTGGTTTCTTAAATGCTGTAGATATCTCTATCGGGCAGTAGGATATGTGTCAAAAACTATTTTTACATGTTGGACCAATACCGCTACTTTTCTTGTTGTTCTTCTTATTCTTGGTTTTGGGGTGACGATGCTCTTCAGAAAGCCCGGTCGAAATGAAAATTAGCGTGCGTCTTCTTTGCACAATTCTGCATCGATTTAGTGAATTAGATTTTTGAATTTCATCCAACAACAAGGTCGTTCCTTGTCCATAGTACGATCGTACTTGTTTTATTCAATGCTGTACATGGTTAGTAAGATACTTGGTTTATTCAATGCTGTAACATGGTTAGTAAGATACTTTGGATTTTATTTATGCTGTAAAAATTTCAACGCAATGACGGAATGAAATGTGCTGATATGAGAGTTAGTCTATTTTAAATTCCATTTAAAGATATAAAATGTTTATTGATCTTTTGTCTGTATTTATTTTCTGTCTTGATTCATTTAATTAATCTCATAGAAGAATTAAACCATTTACCTAAACTACTACTAGTTATTCCAATATAACCACAACTTTGCCCGTGCTTTTTCTATAATATGGAGTATCTAAGTATGAATTTAAAATCATAAACTATGGTTCGAAAACCGACTTAAATTTAGGTGTCATTTTATTGGGATTATTTGTTGGTGACAGATGCGTCTAGGATAAGCTAACTGTGAAATTAGATTCTTAATTTGAAAACAAATTAATCAGGTTTCAAGAACAAATCATGTAGCTTATCAGGTAGCAGATGCACAAATCAACATTAACATTTAAATCTATAAATGGAACAAATCAAATACTGTAAAGTCAAATATATAAAATAACTTGGAATATACTAATGTCAAGTTTATACATGTATCTTGGCAAACAAAGTATCTTTTATTAAACATAAATTTGAATAATTAAAAATATGTCACGTAAACAAGTCACGTGAACACTGACACCTTTATTGGTTCTTGATGATGAAGTATTTTATTAAGATATGGTAATGGAATTTTCCTATTCAGTGACGATTTTGATCGCATTAATATGTCACAATAAACTATTTTCCCCGGTATTACACGATTCTTTGAAAATGTACTCCCGGGGAAGAATTGAATCACCAAAACAACCTGAGATCGCTATTGAAAAATAATGACGTATAAACTTGATCTTGTTTATAAAAAGTGTGTGGATGAAATGACTGTAGATGCGTTTGTAATTAGAATACAATTATTTTTAGGAGACGGAATTTCCTCCATGCACAATAAACATACTGAAATAAAATCAGTAAAACATGCACGTATTATTCCTTTACAGTAACAATGGACTTATTCGTCACATGTCATACTTATATGATAATTATCAGATTAAATTACATCTGTTAAAGGTAGATATTATCTTCCCATTCATATATAAATCATCCCGACATTGTTTGAAAAGAAATGAAATGGTGTTTTATGGCACGCTAACTCCAACCGGGATATTATAGCGTCAAATATGATAAAATATGAGACGGGCTAAATTATATCCATACGCATAAATAAAAACAAGTATCACAGGTAATGGGTTCTCGACAATAAAAATAAATATAACAATGCATATGAAATATTTAAAATATAAACATGAAAAGATGCATGTATATACAATTAAAATACAGATGTGACGTCATCCTTATCAATATATTACATAATGTTTCGCTCTCGACCATTAAACCACACTGAAAATTCGCTCTCGACCATTAAAACACATTTGAAATTCGCTCTCGACCATTAAACCACACTTAAAATTCCCTCTCGACCATTAAACCACACTTAAAATTCGCTCTCGACCATTAAACCACACTTAAAATTCGCTCTCGACCATTAAACCACACTTAAAATTCGCTCTCGGCCATTAAACCACACTTAAAATTCGCTCTCGACCATTAAACCACACTTAAAATTCGCTCTCGACCATTAAACCACACTTAAAAATCGTAACAAAACCTCGTCTCATTTAAAAAGAGAGAGAGAGAAATGGGGTTTAACGTCCACTCGACACAAACTAGGTCATTTCGGGACAAACATATGGTTTAATTATATTTCAAAAATTTGCTTTCGCGTAGGGGTCTTTATCAGTGGGAGGAAACCGGAGGACCCGGAGAAAACCCACGAGATTGGACAGGCGACCCTACTCCTTGTCACGTACAACCGGGGATTCGAAACCACGTAAGTTGACTCAATGACAGGCCTTATGATACAGCACGCACATGCTAACCATTCGGCCATCCAACCCCCCTCATTTAAAAAGTCTTAACGAGAAAACTATACAATGAACCATGGTTTTTTGTTTTTTTTTTAGATATTTTCAAAATTTCATCATTCAATCCGCCTTTCGGCCGACGATCACCAAGGATTGCAACACACGTCGTACAAGTTACTGCATGGATAGCCAGCACAAGCGCCCGACGAGAGCAGTCAGTGATATAATATACTCAGATTTTACTTTGGAAAGGTTAAAAGATAACACTGAAATGAGTTTGAATTACTACCATTATGTACAAAACGTTTTGATGAATACATTCAACAAATATGTTGACATTGGGTCGCCCTGTCTAACGCCGCATTATATTGTTGATATAGTTTGTAGCGTAGCCTTGATTTATAAACGCACATTTTTTGTTGCTGTACAATGTTTTGATCCACCTTGTACTATGGAATCTAATGCTTTAGTGAAGTCGATAGGCAGGAAAAAGCTAATAATTGTCCGTTGCTGCTCAACGCTCATTCATGATTTGATTATAAAATGGATAATCGAGACTGTCGTTTATCGTACTGACTTTAGTAATTATGATCGAGGCTAGGCCTTAAAGTTCAATCACTAATACTCGGTTCAGAGTGGAATTAATTTGATTGAACTCTTCAGCACATTTCCTTTACATTATCTAGTACATGTATTTTAACTATTATAGTGAGAACTGTCAGCTTTTACTCTAATCTCCCATAAAGTATCTTTAAACCAGCTAACTCGCTAATATTTGGGACCTAGAAATTGACACAAATGGTTCGCAATGCATATAAGAATATAATATGAATGCATATAAACTGACTTACATTCAATCGTTTCTGCTTTTATTGTAATTTCTAATCAGTTATGTTCGGCGAAATACGCCAGAGGTTTCAATCGAATGGCAATCTGTAGCGTCTGTTTATTCCAGTCTACATCGATAAAATTTATTAGGCATGTTCTCCAGAATATGGCGTCACTGTTTGACATGAATTGTGGAATCTGTCTAGTCTCGTTCCTCGCGCCCCTTGTTACAAATGGCGCTGAAACACATTGTACACGATTCGTGTATCAATGGTAAAATGTTTATTTTGTCTTAAATACTGGATATCACATTGTACAAGATTCGTGTATCAATGGTAAAATGTTTATTTTGTCTTAAATACTGGATATCAGATGCCCATATTTTCTCGGTAAGATCACAACATCAATGATGATTTAAATTGACAAATAATTCGTGTTTCATTGTCAAAGACTTTGGATGATATTGAGTTAAGAGTTTTAGCAACTTCAATGTAACAGCGGCCTGTTGTAATGTTGTATTTTTAGCTCTTATTAAAGCGAATACACATGTATGACTACACAAGGTTTCCAGTCAACATTATAATTTAAATCTATAAATGGAACAAATCAAAACATGTAAAGACAAATATATAAAATAACTTGGATAGCTTGATATTTATCAACAATTATCGCAATAGACTAATGTCTATCTTATTCATATATTTGGCCCAAATACAGTCTCTTTTATGAAAAATAAATATGTATACATAAAAATACTTCGCGAAAACTAGTAAAGGTAAAGAAAAAAACTGACACCTTTATTGATCCTTGACGGGTAAATATTTAGTTTAGATATTACCCGAGATTTTCCTATTCACTGAAGATTTTGAGATCATTATTATATCACAGTAAACTATATTCCACGAGATTACATGATTCTTTGAAACTGTATTCCCGGAGAAGAATTGAATCACGTGTTCATGTACACCACCAAAACAACCTGAGATTGCTATTGAAAAACAAAATATTTATCAACATGACAAGACCATAATCAAGTCTTGATTATATCGGATGGGTTCGATTAGAACGGATCAGCCATTTAAATTTTTTAAAAAATGGTTAAGCGGGGCTATAAGTTTCTAACAACCAGTACGGTGGTTAGAAACGTTGCACACATCTTGTAAAATCCTCAAAGGCAAATATCTTCGCTCAGAATAAAGTATTTTGCAGAAACTATTTTTGAACTATTATAGCAAGAAAGACCAGCTCTTTAACTAAATCTTACATAATGTATCTTTAATTAAGCTAAATAAGACGCAAATGACAGCTTTAATCGATGTTATCTACATCAGAATTAACTTCTGCCAGTTTCTACATTTTGACTTACACACTAGTTACTAAATTGATTGAAATAATTAATATAGCCAATAAAGAAAAACACTTGACCTTAATCTACAGTTAATAATTTATGATATTATATATGTTTTTCTAACATCCGATATCATGCTTCATAAGTGATATAACTTCCGGTCTATCTAATAACAACGCTATCTAATGACCCTGTCAGGCTGTCAAAGATACATTATCTAACAGCCTTACAATTTATTGATGTTGGTTGCGGAAGAAAATGAGTTAGACTGTTTATAATTCAAGGTGGTCACACATTGATAAATTTACCAGGGACCAATGGTAACACGCTGATTCAATTTGCGTAATACGGTTGTTAGTTGCAGAAAATTGTTGCCTTCAAAAGTTAAAGTCCACTGCAACTAATTACTACAATGATCTAACGTTGGATATGTTAGATGGTGAAGCGCGGCATAATCTTAGACAATTAAATTATCGAAGCGGGGCACCGGCAGCAGAAATTGTTTCCACCATTAATTTTGAAACGGAGGATTCCGGTGCGACGGTTGAACATCATGTACATTCACCAAACCAGAAGAAATTCAATTTGTTCTGTTTGAATTTATCTTTGAAGGACAATTGTGTCAGAATTATTAGGCAACATATTGGACTTGATGTAAAAAAAGGGTTGAACAGTTGGGCATTCCCTCAAAGCTAAAAACTCAAGTCCTTCTCGTTGATTGCATACCGCAAAGCTATTTCCGTGATAATTATATTGATGAAATTGGATGTGTGTTATTCTAGTGTGCCATAGGGAGGAGAAGGGTTCAGGTACATCATGGTTTCGTGGATATAAGTGATAATGATATTTATAACTATGAATACTATCTAATAGATAAGAAATTAAAAGAAATTTTTAAAGAAGACCAAGACGAATTGAGGGCATCAACAACATCAGAAGACGAAAAAGAAATGAAATGAGGTATATCGGCCTACTGTTCCGCTCCGACTGGGCTAATGATGGTGGGAAAGAAGAAGAACGATGATGATAATGATGAGGTGAAGATGACGGAAATACGTGATGATAATGATGGCGGGAATACATGATGAATATGATGGTGATAATAATGATGACGTAACTAGATGATGAATATGATAATGATGACGATGAGGCGAAGATGACGGAATTAAATGATGATGATGATGGGGAGAAGAATTAGATATACTCAAAAAAGTCAAGAGACGAGACCAGATACGAACTAATTCAGTAATCTATAAAAGATCAAAGATGTGTGTGTGTGTGTGTGTGTTCGCCCATCACGCTTCTTCGCCATGCTCCACCCCACGCATGTGGTATCAAATTAATCAGGATAACCCCGCGAATGTTTTAGCCCATCAAATTTGGGCCCAGTGTGAATTTAGACCCCGAGCGAAGCCGGGTATTCTGCTAGTGGGTAATAATTAGAATTGCCACCAGGCTGTGTGTCATATTATAGAAAACCATCACTTTATTTCAAAGTTTACAAAACATTATCACTGCCTATATTATAGTTAAACGATTGCAACTGACAATTACAGAATGTATAAGAACATTACTGCAAGCGGGGGCTGTGGTGCCCAGTGATTTGGCCGATGGAGAAATAAACCCCATTTCATTTAATTTTATTACGCTTATAACCGGATTATAACATTTGGCCATCATTGTGTTGTTATTAATTAGTACCGTTTATAGTCTACACAGTTAGTATTATATTACAATTCGTTTATCAGTACCTATTTCTCATTAAAATTAATTATAATCACGTGATCATGCTTTCGGTTATTAGCGCCATGTTGTCATTAGTGGTTCATCAGCTCCATGTTTCAATTTGTATTTTGTATTGTAATTTATGTTTTAATGTTTTATTAGCTCCATGTTGCCATTATTAAATTTTATTGTCGGTAACCGTTTATCAGCACAATCTTGCAATTATTAATTTGTCATTAAGGGTTTATCAGCATTATGTTAATTGTCATTAATAATTGGTCTTGCCATTAAGATATGGAAAGAAGAAACATCCAGTCTTACTAGAAGAATACTATATTCCCTTGAAAAACACCCAAGGAGCGCATACAGGAATATTAGGGATGTCTGTTCGAGTGACGTCAAGTGTTGCGCGCCAATCTGTAAGCGTTAATGGTGAGGTAAAGGTGAGGGGCTTAAACGTATAACAGATAAAAACCACGGCAAAGACGTGGGCAGTGGATAATCCGATAATTTAATTAGGCTTCGATGTTTATGATAAATAGATATCGTCTTGTGACCCCCCCCCCCCCCGCGACTTCACACCCGCTGCTAGGTACCGGCGCAGCCAAGTCACCTGGCACAAACATAACTTCTTTTAATAGATTTTTATAGCTTGGGTATTTCCTCGCGAATACAATGTTTTGAGAAAAACTTTAAGCAAAATGTTGATAGATTAATTTGAATATGTTTTAGTCCATAAAATTAGTTTGAATAATTATGTTTTAGTCCTAATATATCATAAAATCAACCAGTTTCTACGCGGGAAGGTATCTTTAACGTTTTCTCAGCACTTTATTGTCTTTATTAATTTTTCATTAAGGGTTTATCAGTCCCATTATGTAAGTATTTATTTACAAATATTGTGTTTTAATTAATCAGTACCGTTTATAGTTTTTAGTGTACATTGTTAGTATTGTATACTTCGTTTATCAATTTTTATTGTAATTAATGGTTTATCAGTTCCATGTTGTCTTTATTAATTTATATTGTAATTAATGGTTTATCAGCAGCATGTTGTGATTATTAATTTGTATTTTAATTAAAGGTTTATCTGCTCATATTGTCATTATGAAGTTTTAGTGTTCGGACTAAAGATCAGATAGCCTTATGAGACTCGTGGCTTCCATTAATTAATGTACTTCATTTCAACGAAGATTGATAAATTCACATCAGTTCGACGAGTTTTAGTTCGCGGTTAGTTCTCCGGTTTACACCAAGGGCACATAAACATTTCAATATCTTGTAAATTATCAACTAAAAGAGCATATTATTTTCTTATCTCGTGTTTTTTGGGGTTTTTTTTCTGGTTTTGTTTTTTTTGGGGGGTGGGGTGGGGGTTACAACAAGTTATCAATTTGTATCAAAACAAAACGTGAACAGTAATTTATTCTTTGAATGGCATTTAGTAATTGGAACATAATCAAAAACACACTTTTATGGATAACAATTACTATGGTTTATTTCACTGCGACGTTTCAACAAGGTTTCACAAGTCGTTATCAAGCATATATACAAATAGATAAAAAATGAGAAAGATATGAATATAAATAGAAACGTCAGTGCGAACTATCCAATGGAATGCAAGGTGAGTGAGCATGATTAGCTATAACAAGCTATTGATGTAACAAAGGTGCATAATCGTATATATTAGAGTTGGCTTATTGTACAATTAAAAGATGAAACAGGGCATTAACCAAGATTAACAAACATTGAAACCATACACAGTGTACCATAACTGAAACCAGTATATACTAAGATTACTAAATAAACACACATAAAGATCAAACTGGGGGTTTATAGAATTATATCAAACCATAATGGTTACATTGATTATAACAGTTAGGAAATATAGAATTTTACGGTTATGTTTTAAAGTTAAGTAATAAGTTGCATATATGTATTTACAAGGTGAATATATATCAAAGGGTTGAATAAAATATAAATAAATACTGATAAATTAAGCAGAGGGCCATATGATGAAACCGTTTTATAATTATAAATATGAGAGGTATAACATAACATAAAATACAAATTTTACATATTGTTAACAGAGGATTATAAAATGTGAGGGTTGTGGGTATGGAATATACAATGAATTCGGTATTGGAAAATGCCAGTAGCTAAATATGGTTTTGCATGGGGAATTACTTAGGGGGACTGTGTTACAATTTGATAATGCGGTCATATGCTCTGGGGATATAGACGCCTGGGTCTCGATTCAGTTTCGGTTCATGTCTTCTGATATTGATCGCCTCATGTATTCTTCTGATTCTTTTGCTGTGGTGGTTCACAGCCAACGTTTTAACTTTGGTCTAATCGACACGGTGTCGTGGGTTGTCATTCAGATGTTCAGCAACTGCAGATTGGTTGGTGGGGGCTTTTGACATGTGTTCTTTCAGTCGGATATCTAATGGTCTTTTAGATTCTCCAATGTAACTTTGCTGGCAACTGCAGTTGATTTTGTAGACACAGCCTTTTGGTGAGAAGGGTTTGGTGGAGTTCAACTTTCCATTCGCTTTTGCTAT